AGTGGCTGGTGGCAACCATATTGGATACAGAGCATACAATTTGGATACAGAGCACTCCATCTTCACAGAAGGTTTAACCAGTCATGCTTAGAGATTCAATTATGTATTTGTTTTTCTGTGTACCAATTCACTTTAATAAAGCTAATATTTATATAATATGAGCTTTGTGCCATATTTATACAATAGGGTAACAGACCTGTCAAAGCATTTACAAACTTCATAAATAGTACATGCAGTTAGTTGGTAAGCTTGATTTTTCACACCCATCTTTTAAAGATTCCTTCAACTGTGACAGCTTAGGAACATACTAATTTTTTTAAAGAAGTATTTTCTTCTTAATATGTAGATTGATGAATCAAAGCATAATGTTCTACTGAGTAATTAGTCCTTCAATAATTCACATGAGTAATAGGTCATTTTGGGGGTTAACCCCTGCTTCCATTATTTCGAACCATACGCTCCACCGACAGATGTCTCACTTTGGATGTACACAACAGAAGTGTGGGATCTGTTTCATGTACATCTGTTCCAAAACAGCTTAGGCAGATTAATACTTAGAATGTTCCCAGCTCTGCTAAGTCCCACGTAATCAACAACTCCTGTTGTTTTAAAATTGATTGGTTTTTTCCTTATTTTCACATTTTTCCACATTACCTTTTCACATTTCCAGCAAATAAATGTTTATGTAAACTTAAAGCACAAGAAAACCATTAACTCTTAAGAAACATTTTCAAGAACTTATTTGGAAGTCCAGTTTTTTCAGATTTTCTGGTTACTGCTCTAATTCAGCTGAGCTCAAAGTTGTGGTATGAATAACCTTTTGGAAAAAACATACCATGAAATTGTGTAACTTCAGGTAGTAAGTCTATAAATAAAAGAACTGTAACATAATTAAGACTTGAAATCCTCATTTTTAATGATAATTAAAACAATATTCTAATGCTAATCAAACATAAAATCCTTGCCCTGAAATTCGATTAGTGGGTAGAGGAAACAGAATGAAGAAAGGATAAGCTAGTCCTTTTGTCCATTATGAAAATTCTGCTTACAACTAGCCTTGGCCAACAATTTTCTATCAGATAACAGTTTCTTCCTTTCCAAAGACAAGACTTATACAGAGGTGACTGCCACTTCTCATACTGTAGAAGCTGGGGAGGGGGAGCAAGGAACGCGGCCTGTATTTCCCACGTGGTTCTAATTAGAACTAATTCACTAGGGCTGTGAAGCTTCTGCTGTAAAATACAATTCCTCCACGCACACTGTTAAGGTTGACCCCATTGATTATTCAAACCTTACTTATTAAGATGTCTTAACACCAGAAGCCTACAAAAATCAGTACTTTAAGATGCAACTTCAGAGTTGATGACTATTAGAGATCATATAATGTAAGTGTCTCATTTTGCAGGAGAAAAAACTAACTCAGAGTGGTTAAGTCAGTTAGACTGCTATTAGTTGCAGAAACAAGACATCAGGTCCTGTGGTCTCTACTCCCGAAAGCTTTTCTACACCAGATGGGAGATTACAGACAGCTGGAGTAAAAAGCTATAGAAGATCCTGCAGTACTTTCCATATTTCAAAGGTGCTATTCATTAGTCAATGATAAAGTGCCCAATGTGAGATAACAAAGAGAGACCTGCAGGCATTTGGCATTCTTGTCAGAGATCCCTAAATTGATCGTTCTTAAATGTACTAAAATATGAGGTTAATATAGTCTAATCTTACCCATAAGCTTTTCCCTTATGGGAAAATATCATAACCCAGGCACACAGTACAGTGAGTAAGTAGATCCTGTTCTGGGGATGCACAAAAATGCTCATACCTTCTGCTTCTATCTAACATTTCCAAAAGAATTTCTCTACTTGGTAAGCGTACGTTCCTCGAAGTTTGTCCTTGGTTTAGATTTAGAACCATGCTAACAGGCCAGCAGTGATAATTTTGAAAATGTTGAACTCTGAAAATATGTAATCCAGTAACAGGATAAGCTCAAGGCTCAATTACAAAGTATGCCTATTGGTCTATGGCATCTGCCCATGTCCCCTTTCTGAGCTCTCTTCTCAATTTCTCATACTTTGCCCCTAGGCCTGCCACCATCCTGGGAGCTAACACCACCACTCTAGACCTGCTCTGCCTGGATAGGGTCCGATGACCCAGACTTGCCTGATCTTTCTCATTGGGCCTTAAAAAATTCACCTAACTTCTCTCCCATTTCTTCAGGATTTTGCTCCTTCCTAGGTCACTGACAGCTAACTTGATAATTAACATGAATAAACTCGTTTAATTCCACAAGGAAAATGACCGTAATCTGAGATTCCAATAGAAAGATCATGAGGCACCACTGCAGGCAATAATGAAGATATTTTCTGAACAGGTGATGCCACTTTGTGTATCAATTTACATTACAGAGGTACCATCCTGGTCAATCTATACCCTGGTCACAGATTGCTTTCTTTTTCTATCCTGCAGCTGAGCAAGATGGAACTTTCTGGCCATGATGCTCACAACGGAGAAGTGGGCCAACATTAACTTAAGAATTTTTTTTTTAAAGAGTCCTAATGCTTTAACAGAAGGGGAGTGGTATACTCGTACAGGTGAAGAGAAGTCACTGTTAAGTAGCAGTGTAGTCATCAGGTTACAATGTAACAGGCAAAACAGTAAAGTTCATGAGACCAGTTGAATTCATTCCTGCAACAAATATTGTTTGTATATCAGGCACTCTTCAAGGTGCTGAGAGCAAACAAAACGGATGTTTTGAACATCTTCCCTTTTCCCTACGTAGATCCCATCTCTGGGAGCTACAACATCGATTCCCATGGTGCTCAGGCCTTCAGATTTAGTCTGAATTATACCATCCACTTTCCTAGTTCTTCAGTTTGCAGATGGCATATCTCAGCTTCCATACTCCCATAATCTCCAATTCCCATAGGAAATCTCTTCACTCACAAGTGTGTATTGTACAATTTTTTCAAGGTTGTTTCCTCTATAAATTTGCCAAAACCCATAGAATGTAGAACACCAAGAGTGAACTCTAATGTAAATATGGACTCTGGGTCATAATAATTTGTCAGCATAAGGTTCATTAGTTTTAACAAAGGTACCACTTTGGTGGGAAATGTTGATAATGGGGAAGGCTATGCCTGTGTGGGGGCAGAAGGTATGAGGGCAATCTCTGTACCTTCTGCTTTATTTTGCTGTGAACCTAAAAGCACTCTAAAAATAAACATCTCATATGGTTGATCTAGTAATGCCCTGTGATCCAACCCCACCCATTTCTGGAACAGCCAGTCACTGGCCAACTCGCAACAGACACAGTCTCCCCCCACTACATCCTCCCAGGTATGGTAACCTTAGTGTACCTTTTCCTCCATCTTCTGGGCCAATTTCATTTGTCTTTCACCACTCACATCTAAGCTAACTCCACATCAGAGAGTATTTCTCACATTTAAACGTATCATCTCTTAATACCTCCTTTTCTTTTCCCACTCTTTTTACTAAGTAAAACATCTCTTGGTTCCTTCTAAAAATAGAAGTGCTTACTGAGGTGCTAGGCTTCTGTACCTCCAATTTTCAGGGCCCAAAGTCGTTTGCATACCAGGTGTTTCTTACAAAGAAAAAGCGGTACACTTAGATGAAGGAGAAGAAAACCAAAGGGTTTCAGGGCAAAATTAAACAAAGATCAACACTTGCAACCTTTAGCATTATAAACTGTCAGAATGTCTTAAAATTCTACTGCCAGGAATGCTAATTAAGCCTACTTTTCCCCAATCACCACTCAGTATACAAAACAGCATTTTCTGTTTTTTGTCAGCATTTGACTTTTTGTGTACCAGTACTGCAACACTGATCTAAACGCCTCTCACCGCACAATGTCTCATTTTAATGCTCTAATATTTCAGCTTCACTGTAGGTTAAATCGACCCTGTGGGCTAATTTAAACTCTAATCGTAAACTTCTATGTCCCCCAAATTCAAATTGACTTAAAAATTACACAGAATTCTATGTTCACATGCCGAGCTTTTAACTCAATTTCTAGAAAATACTCCACCTTGGTTTTCATGAATGTCAAAGGTAGCCTAAGTCGAATGAGTGAGCTGGGAGCACACAGCAGAAGCCGAAGTCCCACTTACCACCAGTGCTGGGCCCCTGACTCATCAGTTTTGTTAGATTTTTGTATAAGAAACCTTAAAACAGTGACATTGTTCTGTTCTTTAATAAAAATAGCACATTGCCTCTTGTTTTCCAACAGGGGAAGGCATTTTTGTTTAATTTCATAAGTTAGCATGTAGAAGGGACTGTGTACCACATCCCAAGGTTTTCCCGTAAAACATCTCTAGAGTAAGACTGGAAAGAGTTCTATGGTACAGAATTATAACACTTCCTAAATAAAATTTGAAGTCAAAAGACGAATGCACATCAACAGCATGATGATTCTAAAGTCAACATCACACACACATTCAAAGTTTCTAGCCTGAGCCTGAGTTAGACTTCATTCTAGACAACAGCAAGGAATGTGAGGGAAGGAAAAGTTCAGAGATTCCAAAGCACTGGAGTTAAACTTTCAGAAGTCAGCAAAATGAGAGCTGGATTCAGAACCCACGTGTAGGTATTTTATGTAAAATGCTTACATTCAGCGTTACCATCAGATGCTTAGGGAGTAAAACTTCAACTTGGAGGGGAGGAGGAGGTAACTTTCCCGGGTTTGGAAAACACAGCCCCTTTGGGGCTCAGTTCTCCCTTCAGAGTCGCAGAGCAGAAGCTGAGTATGACGTTGGGCCCGGGGTCACACCCCGGGCGGAAAGCGGCAGGTGGCGGGAGGCCCCGGGGGGTGGCTCGAGTTCTCCCCAGTTGGGAGCGAGCGGGCGGCGGCTTCCGGACGCCCTGGGGCAGAGGAGGAGCTCGCCGAGGGCGGAGGGAAGGCGCGGGGAAGGAAGGTGTGCGGCGGGGAGAGGGAGGAGACGCCGCGGGAGGCGAAGGCGCAGGACCGGCTCACCGGGACCACTCACCTGTGGGACTCTCGGGCTGGATGGGCCGCCACCTCAGGGCCCGCTCGCT